TCCATCGCTAGTAGAAGGGAGGCCATCGCTGCTAGGTTGGAGGCCATTGCTTTTTCAGTGTTGGCTCATTTTTTCATCTTCAAGGCCCTTGCGGCCCGCACTTTGCACTCACTGTTGATTAGCTCCTTGTTAGTAGTAGCGATGCCCTTGTTCCTAGTAGCTTCTTGTTACTACTAGTAAGGCCCTTGTTACTAGAAGCGATGCACTTGTTCCTAGTAGCTTCCTTGTTACTACTACACTAACTCGACTTCCCTTCGGACACTACTGTGGGTACTGCGGAAAATGTGCTTTTCAGTACAGCACAGTACTCGTAATGCTGGTGCCCGCGCCTTGCATCATTAGCTATATTATATTATTGTTCTTTTGCTGCTGCTTCTGCTGCTTCTGCTGCTCCTTCTTCTTTCTCAGTCACAACCCTTACGCTCATCTTGCGCCATTGGCCGGTGGTGTAGCGAGCCCTGAAATACAACCAAACGTGTTGAAACAAATCTTTAGCTTGCTAGGCCGCGGACATCTCAGTGGGATCAACTGTTGACTGCTTCTCCAGAGCAACGGTTTCGGATGAATTTGCGGGTGCCTGGCCACAAAATGCCACTAGGGAGGACGCTACTAGGGGCTCCTGGCCTTACTACTAGCAACAAGAAGCTACTAGGGGCTCCTGGCATCGCTACTAGGAGCAAGAACGCTACTAGGTTGGAGGCCATCACTATGAATGCGCCACCAATCACAACAACGCTGGCGGAGTTCAAAAGGTCCGCCTCCATGCTGCTGCTTGCCTGTTGAGAAAGTCACTTTGACATCAGATCAAAAGCCTCTTTCAGAAGGCGCACAAAAAGGTCTTTGATCTTTTCTTTTTCATGGGAGGTTATGTACTTATAAGGATATCTCGCACCTGAGACACTGCTGCCGCTGCCTCTGCTGCCTGCGGCCGCTGTCCACTGTCTATGACATCCTGGCGGCCAAGCAGCGCGTTTTTCGGATCTCGAAATCGGCCGAGCACCTCACGGGCTGAGAAGCGGATCTCCTTGCGGATTGAACTTTGACTTGACCTGGTACTTCTCTTCAAGACTTTGGCCACCTTGCACCAAAGTACCAAACAGGGGACAAGCTTTACTGTGCTCTGAAACGGCTCACAGTGACATGTTTGGCCTGATCTTGGAAGTCTTCTTGGAAGTCTTCTGTACGCCGAGGCTTGTTCATCAGGACCTTCCTTCACAGAGTCTCATATTGGGAAGGAACAGCGATGGCCTCCAACCTAATAGCGATGGCCTCCAACCTAGTAACGATGGCCTCCAACCTAAGAGCGATGGCCTCCAACCTACCAGCGATCTTCCTGCATGTCAATGTGTTTCCAAACTTTAAGGAAACTAACTGTGCTGCATTCGAGGGACCCTTGTCTCCAGACCACCACCAGGCCCAAAATTCCACTGCAGCACATGCACCTCAGTGCAGTGCGGGAGATGAGTGAATGAAATCTCACGTAGAAAGAAGAAGAAGAAGAAGAAGTTGTTTGTCCAATGCTTTGACCGAGGGGAAATAGTTCACACACAAACAAAATACCGTTGCAAATCTCAGAACTGCACACACTCAATGTGGTCACAGTCAGCCGATGCCTGGGTTGTCGCGGCTGAACATTGGTGGAACAGCAATCGATTGGCCATCAAATGATCCTTACAAGATGAACTCAGGTGGAACCTCAGGGCAGAAGAAAAATACAAACTGAAGGAAAAATGATCTGATTTGTGTGGTGAAGAGTGGTAATAGCTGTGGTGAAGTGCTTCCTCGAAGAAAAACCTTGACCTTTTTCTAAAAAATACTGCCTATCTATACTGCTCCCTACAAATCCCTACTTTTCTGTACTTCTCTAGAAATCACTATCTCTGCGCACGTGTCCTTTCGGTATCTCTACTTTTCTCTGGATTCTAAATGTCCGCGAGCACACAGCAACTGCAACCTGCAGTTCCATCGCTTCATGAGCTCATCACACCCGTGTGCCAATGGATTGTGTGCTCCTCTCTGTTCTTAAGTCAGACTTTAAGGAACCTACTAGCGATGGCCTTCAACCTCTTTTTCTTAACTCCATCTATCCGGCAACGGCCGAACATGTTATAAAGTCTGACTGACTTGACACAGCACGATGTTTTCCTTAGAAAAAGCAATTAAAAGTTTAACAAGAAGCTAGTAGTAACAAGTGCCACGCTAGTAGTAACAGGTGCCTTACTAGTAGTAAAAGTTGAAGTAATATTGAGGCCAAGGCCGGATGCGGTGTGAGTGGGGTCTGTGCGGAGGTCTGTCTCCTTTTCGGTCTCGTCGGTCCGTCTCCAACTCTCCAAGGCCACTTCCAGTCGCTTCGACAGCGATGTCCGAAGCTTTCTCCGGTCTTGGCTCCGAAGCAACCTAAGAGCAATGGCCTCCAACCTAGTAGCAAAAGGAATCTGAATAGCGATGGCCTCCAAACTAGTAGCAAGGACGCTACTAGGGGCTCCTGGCATCGCTACTAGGAGCAAGGACGCTACTACAAGCTTTCTCCGGTCTTGGCCCAGAGACAAAGACTTCGGCTGCCACCAGTGGTGACGGGGCTGGTGGCTGCGCAGCATCATCCGCGTCGGCCACACTGGCCGTGGATGGCACCGCAGGTGAGGGCACCTCGGAAAGAACACAGGAAATAATGACCTAACAATAGAAATTGTGACCTATGATGACCTTTTTTGTTGCTTTTGTGTGTCCTTTTCTTTGAACCTTGTGGACGTTTCTTTCCTATTGTTCTTTTTATGAGAGCAAAAGTAAGAGAAGTCTCTGTGATGATAGACCTCTGTCCCTCGCCTGCAACGCGTCTCCCTTTGAGTGCTCCAGCCACAACCGATCCTGTTCATGAATATGCATCACCTTCGATGTTACGTTCACAAGGCTGGGCAAGTCGGCCTGTTTTGAGCTCCGGGACATCCTGACCTCTCCGAACGCATCCACTCTGACCTGCGCAAGTCACCCTGAAGCACTCTTTTCTGAAGCACTCACATCTCAGTTAACGAACCTAATAGAAATGGCCTCCACCCTACTAGCGATGGCCTCCAACCAAATAGTGATGGCCTCCAACCTACTAGCGATATGGCCTCCACCCAAATAGCGTGTGCAGCACTCCTGCCTGCGAAAGTGACGAAGTCGGAATCCTGAATGTAAACGCCGCATGTGTTTTGATGCGGGAAGTCTGTCACCCAATGCCTTGTTAAGGGTGTGATGAAAGAATCCGACGCAACTGGTGGGACAAACAGAAAGAAAGAAACAATGCCGGACTTCTCTCATCAAGCTCAACCCAGCATCACCCAACATGGATGGGAGAGGGCCCCACAGGACATGTCCAACATGGAAAAATATAAACTTCCCAACAGAGCTGCATGACTGCTGCATGACTGCTGCATGTCTGCTGCATGACTGAACTCGGACTTATGTTGGGTTGGACTGTCACAATCAAAAGAACCGCGCAGTTCGCATTGGTGCAACTTGGCCGCGAAGGGTCCATCCCATTAGAAGCCTGGCGAAAAAGAAAAAGGAAGGGAGAGCATTTACAGTAGGGAACCTACTAGCGATGGCCTCCAAACCTACTAGCGATAGCCTCCAACCTACTAGCGATAGCCTCCAACCTACTGGCCTCCAACCTACTAGTGATGGCCTCCAACCTACTAGCGACAGCC